ATCATGGTCTAGACCGATTCCGGTGTGTTCGGTCCACATAGAAGCGAAAGCGCGGGTGACTCGCTCGGGAGCAAACACGGAGAATACGCGTTCAAGCCTGACATTCTGGGCGAGGACACGAACAATCGAGCGAAGACAGCGATGGGCATACTCGTGATCGTGGTCGTGAAGCGGGAGAGTGGTGAATATGAAGACAGGGTAGTGTCCCAGTGGACCTCGAGTGCAACTGAGGACGAAGTCGAGGGTAGGTACATCGAGCCTCTTCGAGGAAGTACAGGTAATCCATATACCGCTTGATAACCTGCCTTGACACTCCTGCTCCCTACACTTCTCGGCGTGCGGAAATATTATGTTGGAGTCGCTTGGGCGACTCTGGAAAGTCTCCCAAACGAGCGAGGGAAGGTCTGCTGCAGAGGTGTACAGGTCAACACTAAAGTCGATTCCTACAGAAGGCATGGCAGATAGCTGATGAGGGAATGCAGAGCAGTTGTAGGGGAGAGAGGGTATGTTGGACTGTCTGAATCTCACTTGGCGTGCGATGACAGCTTATAAGCCTAATAGGTCACCGCAAACAAATTATCCTCGTCGTCATCTTACCTAATTCGTCGAAATGACTCGATTGTCACCCGCCTCTTATGATATGATATGCGTACGGAGTTTGACATCTCCGACAGTTGTGCCTTCAGTGTATGAACGAATGGCGCATTATTGACCAAGGGTAGGTTTTCTCGGATCATAGACTCGTGAAGGCCGGATATCCCGAGCACTCCGCAAGTGTGACGCCATACAGCTTTCTGAAATTTGAGAACCAAGGACAAGGACTGCTGTGCCGGGCTAAGAAACTGTCCGTTCGGCGTGGCGCCTCTGCTGCAAAAGAGTAGAGACAAAACACTCACAAGCGCCCAAAGCTCTGCGTCCGATTATGGCCGTGTGAATAGATGAATTGGCATATTCCCGCTCATCATTCGCCAGTAGTGAATCATCAGATGCGCCTAGGTAAGCAATTGCATAACATAAGTAACCTAGCATACAGGAAGCAGGACCCATGGTACCGATGGGAGTCAGCAGTCGGAGTCAGCTTGCCCGTTATGGGCGCGAATCGAGTCAAAAGCGCAGTTCCGTATAATTAGACATCTTACCAAGTCGGGTGACTAAGCCAAGGAGAGGTACCAACCGCGACATACATGAAATGTTTTTTTTGAGAGTGCGTCCGTATCGCGTATGTTGGATGTGGTGGCGCCGCGTTTGGCAGCACGCGGCGTGTCATCAGGACGGAAATACCCTAGTACATCTGACAGGAACTCCTTTATCCGGGTGCATCAGCATCCGACGTGATACGAGTATAGCGTCAAGTAAAAGTTGGTGAACCTGGATGGAGACCTTGACAGCGAATGCTCAACTAGGGTTGAATAGTCTCCGTGTATGATGGTTGACAGGACCGATTTCCGACAGGTTTACTATGGGGTTCCATGCGATGATCAAGCCTCATGGCCCGGCACAGCACCGGTTGAAGGATGAGAAGATGAGTGGCTGTGGGAAAGCGTACTTTTCGGATGATTTGGCCGTTATTTGGACGACGGCATGGTGGCGTTCAGCTGTTTAGACCGGTTTCAGCGCCTAATTCTCTCGGAGGGCCACGCTCGAATCGCCGGACTAGTCAAAGAGGTAAACGACTTCTTGTGGGCTCGACAGGGGAAGGATGACAGACGGACACGCGAAAAAGCATACGAACAAGTCCAATAGAGCCAGAGACAACGTCGAACGCAAGGTCGTCTACAAGAGTGTTCTTGATAATCCACTCCAAGTCCGGTGGTACGTCTCACGTCACCCTCTATGCTGCCCTCGCATTAACACTCAATGAAGGCCAAATATTCCTGAAAACATCCAGAATGCTGTTTTGGCGCTGATTGTCTCCATTCTGGACGGCGTGGCAGAAGTGCACGCCAAGACGCAGTCAACAAGCAGGAAGCGGAAGAAAGGAGAGCACACAGCGGAAGTGGCAAAGAAGAAATACAGATTAGAAGAACAGGAAAGCTCTTGTGCCGGCATGCATGTTGACACGACAAGCCAGTCCGACACTCCCACAATATCAGCAGATGGTGCGACCCAGCCACCGATCATTCTCGACCATCTCACCATCGGTATAAATGAGGTCACCAAAGCCTTGGAGCACATAGCGAAGTTTCGGAAGCGAGATATGCCATCGGAGCAATCCGACTCACCCAGCGTCCACATGCCAACCTCGAGACTGGTTGTAGTCTGCCTCGCGGACATTAATCCACCAATCTTGGTCGGCCATCTGCCCAACTTGGTTGCGGCGTGCAATTCCGCGGAGAGCTCGGGTGATCGGCACAAAACATGGCTCGTGCCATTGGCAAGGGGTGCGGAGCAAACGTTAGCAGCAGCGATAGGCCTCAAACGTGTTGCGACTATTGCAATCGACGTACGGTGAAACTTGTCCTCCTTTGAGACTGTAGTTCATCCATTATTGGTCCTTAGGCTTCTGCGCCACAGTTCCCGAGTCTCGAGTACTTGCTGGAGTCTGTGCCTATTCTCACTGCTCCTTGGTTACATCCAACCCCGAATGCGCGCACGGAGTTGGTCCCGACACATATTAAACAGCTGAAGACCACCGCTCCCAAAGACATGCGCGCCGCCAAGGAGCTTAGAGCGAAAGGCAGGGTTGAGGCGAAGCGGAGAAAGCAGGCAAAGGCTGCCAAGGTTCCGAGGAGGGTTGTAATAGCAGTGCCTTGAACTCTTCGTTCCCCACTTTCATCAAGGCGTCTGGGAATAGCATTAAGATTTGGACTGTTCGCTCCCACAAGTCCTATTCAGTGTCTCGTGACCCTGTGGTTTGATATATTACATATGTCAGGCGGACATTGCGCGGAAATAACTGTTTTTCCGTGAACTAATCACCATTTCAGTGGTACGCGCTAGCTGTGATTGCAGTATAACAATGGCGTCCCTGGCAGCGCACATGTCACTTGGCAAGTACTTGAGCAAGTGGAACCGATCTGTCCGATTATCCTCATAACAGCTTTACGACATGTCCCCAATTTTTTACTCCCCTAGATCCCTGGCTTATTGTGACACGAATCGCATTAATACATTGCTACTATCTAGTCGAACGTGTATCTATTCTCCCTCCTGAACTTCATGTCCCGTTACGGTATCTGCACAGTATACCGTCAATCGAGCGCCATTAAGCACAAACTTAGATCTTCCCAGAACCGCCCGCACAGTCGGTGCATGAATTCAGCCCTGACAGAAGCTGACGACGTCAACAGCATAACCTAAGCTTTACAAGGGCAGATGTTCATTGCAATCGTCGGTACCCGTCTGTCTGGCAAGTCAACGGTTCAAGAGTATCTCCTCAGCTTCAAAGGCTTCAATGTACTTCGCCTGGTCGAGAGAGACAGTAGTGTGAGCACCCTCGCATATAACAGCAGATCTGAAAGTGAACTGGACCCCGTATCGGTCAGGATGTCGGACATTCGCCATATTATCATGGTCCCGAATCGTCGAACGCGTCTTCTGTACAGAGTTTGGACGATGCGAACTTTTTGCAGGTAGATTCGCCTTCCAATACGCGCAATTACCGTCCGACGTCCTTCCTCATGATGAATTCGCCCATGGCGTCGTCATTCCCTGCCATATCAGACGTTCCACCGAGTGAAAGCAGCACGATTGAGGATCATTTGACCTTTTCCAGCCATACGGAAATGCTGGACTACGTCACCAAGAACTGGAGATCCGATTTCGTGACCGTGGATCTCAGGAGCCAGTCTCTACTGGAAAAATTCTCAACCAGGCCGTTTTTCATGGTCGTCAGTGTGGACGCCCCGATTCTCATTCGCTATCACAGAAGTATGAGGCGAGTATCTACTCTCTACACGCAGCACATGTACATCAGACTGAGTGTCTTGTCCCATCCTTTCTCAGAGGGAGGAGCGGCGAAACTCTGAGTCCCTGCGAACGTTCGTACAGAGCCCGATGAGCATTTCTATGGACCGAGCGACAGCCACCTCCGCATATTCGCAGCCCGCTACTCGTCC